CTTGTAAATTTGGTCTCAATCGATTAGTCGGATGTAAGCCAATTACCCGATCAGACGGTGATTGCTTCACCCAACCCTAGAATCATTGATTTGGAGTATTCAGGACTCCAATTCTCGATCCGCATGTTCCCACAAGATCCTAGAGGTACAAAGAACAACATATTTGAAATCGAGACCGATCAAACGATCTAAACCTATCAAACCCGAATATCGCATATTGGGTGCAATATTCGTTCGACTGTCAAATGATAACCGATTCCAAATCCAAGCATATCGTCGTGCTTAGGACGACAAGGAGAACATTTTAGAATGTAATGGGCCGCCACACAATGGCCCACACGCCGCCACCTTCGGTCGGAAGCGCATGGGTGTCTTGAGAAATTTCCAGCGACGGAAAATTCTCGAAACACCCTACAATACCTATACCAATACTTTCAGACTAACAAGGGAGTCACCATAAATGGCGTCAGAAACTTCCAAAATACTTGAATTTCCAGTCATTCCAGTTTAATTTCCTTGGGTTTTTGAGCTGGGAAAATGGGTGGATTAGATAGAGGACATCGATACAAAACTTTTGCAACCAATTTCACTTGAATCGGATACCGGACGACGACGAAATCGCCGTCAGAAAATTGCTGCCGCGCGCGTAGAGAAAGAGAGTGTCGGGAAGAGATGGAGGAGAGAGAGTGACTGGTCTGTTTTAAAAATTCAACTTCGAAATATTTATGGTTGTGCCACTGCACTTCCGTTAACCACAACTTCTTCGTTAAAACTCCGATTTGGGCCCACTACGTGTCTATGAACTTGTGAGAGCGAGCTCTACGAAACAGTGCCACTCATTTCCCCCAAATCCTTCTATATTAAAAAGTGACCAAATTACCCCTAATCCCAAGGTCAAAATTGTAATTTCACAAAAGAATTAAATTGGATTAAATCGATTAAATTGGGTCAGAGATGTTACAGGAGCAGAAGTTGGAATGTGCTATAAGATTCTAAGATTCAGCTGTTAAATCTAAATAAATAATAACAAACATAAACAAAAAATTAAAAATTAAAAACCCCTATATGTATATACACTTACGTATACTTCAATCCCTAGGTTGCGAGAATCCCTAAAAATCAAATCAACGGTTGCACCCACTACATCACTAACAATACTACATCGTTTTCTTCGAGGTATTCTATATACTATTTGCTTTCAAGACCCAAGTCAATCTCAAATTGCGTCAGCGGATGACTTGCACTTACTAGGAATTCCTTGTTAAAGACTAACAATTGCAATGATTTATCCCCGTCATGATGAACTTTCCTTGCAATTTGTTAAGAGAAAACAGTTTTTCCGGTTTAACTTTATTCACAAAACTAACAAATAACATGTGCAAGCTTCCTTAATTAAGTATCACACCTTTGTAGCAAGAGATTACTTATAGCTTACACAAATTACATGTTATCTTGTGCAATCATAAACAAATTTCAGGATAGATTCTATTTGTTGAAGAAATTTATCAAGTAATTTAGGTATGATGCAATTTTGGTTATTTATTTCTTTAGGGTTTGAGTATTTAGGTTTGGTTTTGTTATGAAAAATTTGTTGATTCTCAGAACAAAGACAAACACTTATCTAGCTCAAAAAATAACCAAACAAACACAGTTCAAGAGAGAAAACCCTAAATTGCAGTGACTAGTAATTTCTGCTGTGAACAGTGTTTTAGGGGGTTTTGGTGTCCGTTTTTTACGCAATATACCTTTATTAATAGGGAATGACCTAATTAACACAACTTACTGCCTTGTTATGACATATGGGCATTTTTAGGGTTTTAAGGTCATCTGGTAGGTCAAAAACGTGTTTAAAGTTTTGAAGATATGAAAATCAAATTAAAACATGCTTTTCCATATTCTTTAATATTCTTGATATTTAGAAAAAAAAAACATGTTTAATCCATCTTCAAATTTTAAACATAACCAAAACTCATCATGGCATAAACAGATAAGAAATCGTAATAGCCATGCTTGAAAAACAATTTCAGTGTGTGCGAATAACCATGTGCTCTGATACCAACTGTTAGATTTCTTTATATGCATGTTCATGATCTTTCACACAATCTAAAATATATAAAGACATACTTGATGCCATCTTTCTTGAGTACACGAACTCTGAACTCATTCAACCGTAGGAGCAACAATCCCAGCAAGAACAGGAACGACTGAAGACTTCTGCTCTCTCTCAGAATCTGTTTCAACTCTCTCTTTATGATGAGATTAGGGTTAGAGAGACGAGAGCAGGGCCTTAAGCTTATATAGACTAGGTCAAGTCGTCTCTACTCATCACCAAGGGCCAACTTGACTAATCTTCCAAGCCCACCAAACAACGGTTCACACAAAAAAGGAAACAAAAAGGAACCCTTAATAGGCTTCAAAATATTTCCTTATTCCACAAGGTTTTGGGCCTCAAGGTATAACCTAATTTAAACTCTTATCAAAGCTTAATATAACTGTGGGGGTCTTTTTGTTCCAGCAGCCTGACGAATGGGCTGGGCTGCCGTAAGGAGTGATCTGGTAGAATTATCCCCTTGTGTCTGAGTTCGAAGATTAAGCCCCAAGAATGTTTCAAAAGGGTAGTAAAGCCCTAGGAAACACCTTGGTTACCTTCACCAATGAAAATAGCAACAACTTACAGATAGATTTTCTAGCTTGGCATGAGAGGCTTGTGGCATGGAAGCAAAATTGTTATGAGTTTAGCACTGGAGAGAAGGCTATGTGTTTTTGGAGGTATTAAGGTAGAAGAGGAGGAGTTTGTAGGAAGATTTGGCAGAGAATGAGGGAGAGAGATGAGAAGGTGTGGCTTAAATGTCTTTCCGGCAGCTTGACAGAGACTTTGTCAAATGCTATGATAATCTGCCAGGTAACAGGGGTTCTAAGGAAAGAGGAAAGGTATTTTGGAAGGATTTGTTGAAGAAATAGAGAAAGAGGAAGGAAGGTGGGTGTGTTGAGCAGTTTCCGGCAGCTCGACGAGAGCTCTGTCAAACTTTGGAACAGTCTAACAGGAGCGAAAATGGGAGGAAATGGAGGAATAGGGCACGAAATTGCAGGGTTTTGTAGGTGGGAGAGGAAGCTTGCTCTCCAGATGTGGGTTGGTTTTGATGGGTAGAAGATGGCCCTTTTTATAGCCGTTGGAAGCCATCCTTTCCCAAAAAACCCTAATGGTTTCTATCCAATTTGGCCAAGCTTTTTCTTTCATTTCTCCTCCCTTCTTTTGACTTATCTTATTCTAGCAAAATCTTCTCTGCCCAATCCCACAAAATCAGGGATTTTTAGGAGCTCAATGCTTTTCCCGCTGCTGCCACAGTGGAGAACCTCCCATTTTCAGCCATCTTCCTTCCTTCTTTTCTCCCCTTTTCCATGGCTAGATCTGATGGAGGGAAAAGAAATGGGTAGGTACACTGGTCTGAAGGGTGCTTTGGCTCCTAGCAACCTATGTACGCTAATACCCCATGGTTCTTTGCATGCTCCACCTTGATGTTCGTTATTTGCCCATGTGCTGGAGCCTCCCAGCACATGGGCAGCTTTGGCTCTTTGTCATGGCTTTTATCTCCAGCCATGTGTTGGAGATTACAGATATTTATTTTGGTTGTGTGGGCTTTTCTAAGGTGATGGTCTAGCTAATTAGGGGGATGGGCCAATCCTTTTCAAGTGATGGCTATTTTATTGAGATAATGGGCTGATTTTCTAGGCTATTGGGCTACTTTCCTTCTCACTTTTATGCTCACCCACATGTTTGGGCCTAAGAAATGGGCTTGAGTTTCGAGGCTCCCAAGCAACTCGAGAATTCCATTTCTCGGCCCATCAATGGGCCTCATGACAACTTGTTACCATCCATACCACAACCCACTCAAGCAAGCCCCGGGCATTTGCGTGGCTTGGGCCCACTTAAGCTTGTAGCGTGGCTAGGTGTAATAATAATGATTTTTGCTTGGCATTGCATGTCGCTTGGCATGCTTGAATTTTGTCGCCTTTAAAAGGGATATGATGCCTAACAGGATAATTAGCATGGGTTTGTAAGGCTGGTGCCTTTTATAGGCTCATTTCAATTCTTAGCATGACGGATTTCACATTTATTTGGCATGGCACAAGGATCGTGGCTCGTGCAAGCATGCATGAAGAATTTCACATGCTTCGAACCAAGTTTCTTCTTAATAAGGTGTCGCACTGGGCCGGGAATTTATTTGGGCCCAATCCTGGATTTTTTGGGCCTCAACAATAACTTAGTATCTAGTGTACCGATCTAAATAGGAAACATAACATAGAGGACCTTTGGATTTGAGATTTGGTGGGAGTAGAGACATGGGTTGATGAAGGTGTGGAGGGATGAGACGAAAGAGAGATGAGGGAGATACAAGGGTTGTGGAACAAAGGGAGAGGGAGTTCAGAGGGAAAAGTAGAGGATTGATGGGCCAACATTAGAAAATACAGCAAAGGGAGGGCTTTCAAAAGGAAACACATAAAGTAAAGGAGAGGAGCCATACAAAAGGAGGCGCAGTAGCCACACCATAGGTGGTGGAGGAGTCGCCTCGAATGGCCGCAGGATAGCCACCAACTGGTCAGGAAAGGGCGGTGGAGACGAGAGAAATATTAGAGAGAATGAGGAGCCTATCTCTCTAAAGCTTCTCTGTTAAGAAATTGCACGTTGTTCAATTTACTTGTTTAAACTCGTGAATGTTACTCAAAAAATTGATGAATATCAAACTATAAATTTGATTTTGAGACCTGTCCTATTTTCTTGCTCATCTTATCTTTAAAATTATAGCACTCTTTGAAAAATCTGGATTCCCTAGTAAATCTGGGCCTTTTGACCAAAAATATCTGGGCCTTGGGCCCTCAATGTAACTAAAAGATAAAGTTAAAAGAAAATTCATAATTAAAAGCTTTTATTTTATTATTTTCATAATAAGACTACAATGTGTTTTTTCCAAAAAAAGAAAGGACAAAAAAAGAAAGAAAAGAAAGTTTATTTTTTAAAATTTTTAATTAGACGAGGACGTTCTGGAGTAAGAGATGGAAACATACAAAAGCGTTTTCAATATCTCATGAACATCTCCTACTCTGTTTCCTCCGCCGTTTACAAGCCGCCAACCCCACTTTCAGAATCGCCCTTCTTTCGCAGAAATGGCAGAAAACTCGGAGATTGTAAGCAAAGAAGAAGATCCTAAAGGACCCAAAAACTTATTCTCACTGTTTCCCAAGTTCAAGCTTCAATTTCCATTCTTGAAGCAAGAACCAAAAGCAGGCGTGGCTGTTGAAGATGAACCGAGGAAAGCAGTAGCTGGTGATGAAGGACTTGAAAGTAAGACTCAGAAACCGGACATTGTGAGGTTCCCAAAAACGCAACTTGTTGTTCCTCCTCCTGTGGCGGTTGAGAATGAAGAGCCTTCAACTAAGACTTCCAATCCTATTATACTCTGGCAGGCATGGTTTTTTGAACTTTATGTATTTATTTTTTCTGATTTACATGAATTTATGTTGGGTATTGAGAATAAATGGAGGGAATGAAGAAAGAAAATGAAACCTTGTGTGTTATGTTGTTTGGTTTAGAATTAGTTGTATTTGAAATATGGGTTTTCATTCATGATGTATGTAAGTTGGGTTTTATGCATCCTCTTAGGTGAAGATAAAAGTTTTCTTAAGGAAAGGTATTTTGAAGAAAATAAATTTTGGGTACGAACAAATATCATATCATGTTGTGTGGACAGAAATCTATTAGAAAAAAAAAAGTATTTTGTTTGAACTTTTGATTACAAAAAACCAAAATTGGATTAGGAAGGGGCCAAGTATAGGAGTAACACTTAAAGAAAGGGGTTTTGGGCACCCAACTTGGGATTCACAACCCTTTATCAAAGTTTGCATTGCTTCCCCCAAAAAGGGGTAAAAAAAAGAAGTCAAACAGAAGGTTCTTAATTTTGTTTGTACCATGAAGCCTATAGACTCACCTTGCTATTTATTTCATTATTGCTTGATTATAGTCCACTGAAACGTTGAGAACAGCAAGATGCTTGTAATAGAGAGCAGTCTATATATGCTTAAGTGGTTAAGTAGCCTAGCTTAGTAAACATATGGACTATGGGATTTGGAGGAAGTACAGCAAGGATGAGGAGATCTGTTTACTTAACAGCGTATTGATATTATGAGATTTTGTTTTGGAGATTGGTGATGACAAAGTTATGCCAATGTCAAATGATGATTATTTTAGCACAGTGGTGGAAATTCCCAAGTTGGTTCCTTAGGTATGGTTGAAAGAGTGTGTAGGGGAAGTTGTCATTGAGATGTAGGTGGGGTGATGAATATCAAGTATAATTCACTAGATAAGAAATTACATAGTTATGTTGGTCAATATATGGGTTGGCCAATATGTAAGGTACTTATCTGCTATTTTTGGTGCCTTATTAGTGGATGGAGATATGTTGCTAAGAGTTTGAATGATTTATGTTGAACAAGACACTTCCTTCAACCTAACATTTCAGTATCTTATGGAATGTAATTAACTAAGTTTATGGTTTAATTATTTCGCTTGTAAGGCAACAGGACTTGGAACATCAGTTTGGTAACGGTTTGATACTTGTTGACTGGATGAGCTTTGCATCTCATGTGAGACACCTGGTTCTATGTTCATGGTCAGCTGAATCTTTAGATATTTTAGTAAAGCCCCATTAGTGGCACTGATTTCAAAGCTCTAAGAAAGGTGGTTAGGATTTCATTGTTTTGACTTTGTTTCTTTATAAAAAATAAAAAAAAAGATTTCTTTGTTTTGATAAAAAAAAAAAGAAAAAAAGAAAAAAAGAAGATGCATATTTCATTTTTCAAGGAAGCACATGAATCAAACAAAGAACAGTGGAATAGTTGAGGAGATGGGATAGGCCACTAGCCCTGCTCTCCACCATCTCCTTCAGTTCGCTTGTGTTCGTATTGTATACCTGTACTCATTGAGGCGGGAGGCTGAAAGTTAATACCATGTGGATCCTTGTCTTCTCCTGTTGTGATGAAATTATCGGAGCTCGCTATGAAGTTCCGACTTTGTGGCTTTCTAGTATCCAAACTTGCACTTAAGTTCAGATTATGCAACAGCATGCTAATAGTCAATCCATTAGCGGCTAAGTTCATCGGCTTTCTGTCCGTTATTTGTCTCAATGAGCTATTTTCTTTCTTCTCCATCATGTTTCATTTAGTTTTTTTTCCCTGTTAATTTGAATATTTTCTGTTCTCAGTACACATTCATTAGCCTCCTCATAGTTGTACTGATCACCCATTTGTTTTTGGGCACATCTCATATCAAATTTCACTCATTATGATAAACTGATACTTGAATTAAACGAGGGAAATTAGATAGGACCGCAACTTTTCCAGGCTGTCTATATAGGTGCAAACCATGCATTTTGGGGGTTTAAATATCATGTTGAAGGCCATATCTTGTATACAGAATAACATGTTTGTTAAATTTTGAGTTAAAGATTATGAATAAGAGGGGGTATGGGTGGGCTGTGGAATACCTACATATTTGAGACTTTGGGGTTGTGTTTGGCAGTCATCTGAATATTTAGTAAGGACAGTAATTGTTTGGTTGATTATATTAGCCATTGTGTTGGCTTTTCATTATTTTTTTGGTACAGGTTGGTTTTTTTTTTAATAATCAATGTCGACTTTGTACTCTTTTCTAATGTTTTTAATTGGCAGTTTTTCAGCTTTCCCAATGAATTTTCAACTACTTTAGCACTGTGCTTTTTTGTGGGTACTGTGGCCAGATGGTTGAGGTTTCAGTACACTTTGTTTCAGATATGGAAGAAAAACTTAGCTGGAACTGGTGGTATATGCACAGGTTGTATTTTTCTCTCCCCGCTTGGAGAGTGAAAGACAACTGATTTATACAACCTTTTCATGCAAGTTTTTCTCCAGTTGCGAATATGAACAGACACTAAAGGAAAATAAAGCTGGATGTCCTTCAAATTTAAGTTTTACTTATTTCCTTTAATTATTTAGTAATTTTACTTTGCCTACTTTCAGGTTTACGCTATTGGGGGGTTTCTGGTTTTGAGGTGGATCTGGGCAAGATGGAACGAAAGAAGGGATCGAAAGGAGGGGTCTTCTGATGATGAACAATCTTCTCCTGATGATGAACGATCTTCTCCTGATGAATAGGTTTTTCATAGGCCATAGTTAACCCTTGAAATATGGAACATCGATAATGCACGTTACTTTCTGGATTCCTTTTGTAAGAAAATCAGTCCATCAAAACATCAGTGTGCTTAGTAAAGAAAGTGGCTTTCCTTTTGATTTCCTCTATTCATTTTGTCACTACTAGTTATTAGATTGAATTGCTCTTTTGATTTGGTTCCCTTTGATTGCTTATGGGTTACACATCTCATGGATGTGATTAGTTGTGCTGCACAAACTAGATCTAGCTTTCTGATACAAAAATCTTGGACACCTCTTAACAATCTACTTTGATAAATTGGATCAAGATATACATGTACCAAGAAAAGCCGGACAAAACTACCATTCGAGTGGCGAAACAATGCATTTGCAGCCTAATTTTGAGGACATCTGCATCCCAAATTAAGATGAACAATGAAGCTTGTTAAAGTTTCTTGATACCATAATTAATGATATCTGAACGTGATCTATTACCCAATTTTTATACCAAAATCCTTATCATGATACAAGGAGGAATGCCAATTTGATGAGTTCTAACTTCTAACCAGAAGTGCTTTTAACTGCGTTTGACAAAATCATTTAGATATGTAATTATGGTTCATAATAGCGATTTATGAATGCTTTTCTATGAAGCACTTAAAGTCTGTCTAACAAAAATTTCGACGTTTCTTATAATAAAAGTTTTCACAACAAAAACGTTTATGAGCAAAAGTGTTTTCTATAGAAGTAGTCCCAAATGAGACTGTAGACCAAAACTTTGTACTCGAAGGACATAAACTGTCACATCTCAGGATCGGCTCCACTGTAGCACGATATTGTCCATTTTGGGCCCCCCTCTCTGCCCTCACGGTTTTGTTTCTGGGAACTCACGAGCAACTCCCAGTGGGTATCTCCTCCTGAGATTGCTCTAGCCCCAACTCACTTAACTTCGGAGTTCCCATGACTCCGAAGCTAGTGAGCTCCCAAAAGGCCTCGTGCTAGATGGAGATGGGCATGTACATATAAGGCACATCATTCCCTCTCTGTTGGTCGATGTGGGATCTTACATAAACACCACCCCTCTCCCCCCCCAAAAAAAAATCCCCCAATCTTTTTGACTTCACCATCCTCAATTTTTTTTTTTTTATAGGCAAAATTGTAGCAAAAGTCCTTGGACTAAGACCGAACTTTACTTTTCGACCCTCATATTACTAAATTGTTATAGTGGTACTTTAATTATGCCTCCACTTTCAGAAATCGTCCTTTCTGTCATCTCAGTCAACTTTTCCGTTAAAAATGAGGGCATATTTGTCTTTTCATTTATTTTAAATTGATTAAAATGTTAAATTTAAAATAAATAAATAAAAACTCTCTCTCTCTCCCCACCGATTTCTTCTCCCCCCATTCCCCATGACCACCACCCGCCCTAGCCCGCAACTACAGAAAAGAGAAAACAAAAAAAATCATCCACAAAATCCAGAACCCTAACAACTACTAGAACCCCAGCAACTACAGGAAAGAGAAAAAAATTCATCCACTGAGGCTTGTTTTTTTATTTAATTTCTTTCTTTTGTTGTTTGGTTTTATTGGAGGATTTGGGTCTGATGTGTGTTATCTCATCAAATAGATGGGTGTGGGGGAGAGAAAGACTTGGAGCCAAGATTCCAAATCTAAAGGAGAAATTGGTGGGGGTCTAATGTGGGTTATTGGGTGGGAGAAGAAATTGGTGGGGTTTGGGGGGGAAGAAATTGGGGCTGGGGAGAAGAAATCTGGGTGTATGGAGGGGTAAGAAGAAATGAGATTTATTTTTCAAATTTTTTGTGTGAAAAGACATTTTTGCCCATGCTAAGTAGGACTTGTCTATGCCATATCATCATTTTTAACGGAAAAGTTGATTGAAATGACGGAAATGACGATTTCTGAAAGTAGAGGCATAATAAGTACCATCGTAACAATTTAGCAATATGAGGGATGAAAAGTAGTCTTAGTCCATGGACCATTGCTACACTTTAGCCTTTATTTTAAGTTTTTAATTTTATTTTCAAATTGAATTATGAAATATTGATTATCAATTTAATATGTTCATATCTTAATTTTAATTTTGTTAATTAAAAAGTCTTGTTTTAAGTTTTTTATTTGAACTGAATTTTTTAAAATTTTAAATTATTGAGCTTTTTTTTCATATCAATTTCGATTTCATAATTTTTTTAATGAAATTTGACTGATGAACCAATTTGACTAATTGGACACATGGGGACCTAATTTCCCGAATCAATAGCACATAAATTGACGAATTTGATGGATTATTTTGGTGAAGGGAGTATTTTTACACATCACTTTAACTTTAGGTGTACCATTATTATCAAGTGCAAAGAGAAAAATCATTGTTCTCCTTTATATTTTTCAATTTTCTTATTTCGGTATAAAAATAAAAATAAAAATAAAAGTTAAGAAAAAAAAACCGGAAAAATTCTGTAGAGCAAATGAATAGAGACGTGTTGGTGGTAGTCCAAGTGTAAATGTGTAACCAGACGTTTGGCGTAGCTGACGGAACCGTTACGACTGATGACAACACCACAATCTCACAAGTTCCCGAATCCCTAACCCTTCTGTTTCCGTCTCCAACGTTCCGTCACTTAACCTCAAACGCCGTCGTCTCCTTCCTTCCATTCTCCTCAACCTCAAACGCTAACCCTAATGGCTTCCTCCGACGATTTCTCTCTGATCGACTCCTCCTCTCACCTCCACGCGCCGCCGCGCCCCCGTGACACAATCGACTCCACCACCACCGCCAACAACGGCGATTTCTTCCCCCGACCCTTCCCCGACGACCCGGACCGGAGTCCGAACCCGACACGAACCCCCAACACTAAACGGAGCTCTTACTACTACAAAAAGCTCAAACCCTCCTCCGCAAACCCTAACCCTACCACCAGCACTACCGAAGCCGAGTCCTCCAGCGGACCGGAAACGGCGTCGCAGCGGGGTGACTATCGGAAGGACCGTGAGGAGTGGAGCGACACGGCCATCGCGTGTCTTCTAGAAGCTTTCACTGAGAAATTCAATCAGCTGAACAGGGGAAACCTGAGAGGGAGGGACTGGGAGGAGGTGGCTGAGATGGTCAGCGAGCGATGTGGGACTGGTGGTGGTAATAAGTCAACGTACAAGACCGTAGAGCAGTGCAAGAATAAGATTGACAATTTGAAGAAAAGGTACAAGGTGGAGCTGCAGAGGATCACTAGTAGTGGGTTGGGGGCCAGTCATTGGCATTGGTTCAAGAAGCTTGAGGTCATTCTGGGGAGTTCTCTTGTGCCTAAAGGTGGCGGTGGTTCGGATGAGGAACGCAGCAGCGGCAGAGCCAATTCTAATGTGGCTAAGCAGCCTAAGAGGTATGGTAAATTGTAGTAATAAATTTGGTATAAGTTTGTTGATGAATTGATTGTTTTGGTTTGCTGGGGTTGTGATTTTGTGTGAATTATGAAACGGGGTTTGTGAATTTTTATGTGGTTTTAAGACTCGGCAAGTGAGAAATGAAATTTCAAGTCAGTTGGCAATATAAGAGTGAAACTGCTTGAACTTGTTTCTGTAGTTATCCTTTTGGGCCATTTGACTGAATAAAGTGCGCCCTTTGGACTAGAGTTAATGGCATTGCTTTCATGTTTCGGTGTTTTTACTGGTTGAAGACAACAATGGGCTACTTTATAGGTTTTCTTGCTCAAATGAGTGAAATCGGCTAGTTGGGTGTGTTTGATTAGTGATTATTGGTTTTCTTCTCCCAAACAAAACATCTTTATGGAGTGCCAGATATTTCTATTGGCAGATACACGCCTGGCAGCACTGGATTTACAAACAACCTGAAATCCAAATCGATGCCAAATGTAAAATGGAAAAGAGTAATGCTTAAAATTAGTGGTGCTGCATTAGCTGGGGACTGCCAGAGCATCGACCCCAAGGTGCAAGCTTTAGCTGACAGGTTATTGATGTTTGATCAAGTGTGCTGAATAAATAGGCTGAGCTGCTTCTTTCTGTCGTTAGGTAGCAACGCAGATTGCTGAGGAAGTGGCAAGAGCTTGCCGTCTGGGGGTGGAGGTGTTTCCTGAACTTGCATTTCTTTTTTAACAATAGTTTTTACTTCCATTCCTTCATAATATTTGTGTTTTTTCTCCTAACTTAAATTCTTTGAATTCTATTCTTTGTAAAGGTAGCAATCGTTGTTGGAGGCTGTAATTTCTTTTGTGGAGACACATGGGTGTCTTCTACTGGATTGGATAGATCTACAGCATACCAAATTGGGTAATGTCCAATGTTTTGACTGTAATTGCAATTATAATCTGGTGTCCACTACTTTTGTTCAATTATATGGCTTGGATATCATCGTGATTGTGTTCAAATGGTCAATGAGCAACATCAAATTGGGTAATGCCCAATGTTTTGAACTGTAATTGCAGTTTTTTTCTGGTGCCTTCTACTTTTGTTCAAATTATGTTCAAATGGTCATTCTCCTTTATCAAAACTAGTTTTGGGTACTTAAAGGGGGCCCCTTTTGATTTAAGCATGTCTGGATGTTTTGTGTAGCATGTATATGCTTTATTTAGTGGCCTTGTGGGTTGTTAGACTTGGATAGAAAATTGCAGGGATTTTTAGAATTAGCTAGATTTTGCATATGCTGCCTGTCTGGGTGTAAAGTAATGTGGGTATCACTAAAATATTTTAGGCTTATCCCTTTGTTTGCTTCAGTCGATAAAAAGAAAATCCTTTCCTTGCTTACATCTTTGCATTTATATCTTAACTTCTTTTAAAAGAATGGAATAAGCAATCAATACACTTATCCTAAACTTTTGATTGGTAGAAGCATACTGATGTTTTGACGTTGATTTCTTACCAGTATGATGGCAACAGTCATGAATTCTGTACTTCTTCAATCAGCTTTAGAGAAGGTAGGTGTTCAGGCACGTGTCCAAACAGCATTAACAATGCCAGAGGTTTCTGAGCCATATAACAGGCTTCGAGCCATACGACATCTTGAGAAAGGCAGAGTTGTTATATTTGGTGGAATTGGTGCTGGCACTGGAAATTATCTCTTCACCACTGATATTGCAGCAGCCTTGCGAGCTTCTGAGCGTGAGATTCTACCATGTCCCCTATATGTTTTGTTTCTAATATACTTTTGTTTTCTCTATGCTTCTTGTTCCTTTCTCTTTCTGTTCCATATGGTGTACATATATGTTTTCTGGTTCAGTTAATGCAGAGGCAGTTCTTAAGGGTACAAACTTTAATGGCATATACGAGTGTCATTCTGGTAGCAACAGTGTCACTGTTGATCATACTTGCTATAGGGAGGTTGTTTCTAGAGGCATTACCTCTGTGGACGTCATGGCATTAACATACTGTGAAGAGAATGGAATTCCTGGTTGGTCTCATTCCTTTCCTACTTGCACAAATGTTAAACCCTCATTTATACTAAGAATAAATGTGCTTTGCCTGTAGTTGTAATTTTCAATTTGCTGGAACCTGGAAATATTTCGAGAGCTTTATGTGGAGACCAAGTTGGAACTTTGATTGATCAGGCAGGAAGGATTAGCTAATGCATATGGAGCCATCCGTTCCGATGTTTTGAAGTGCGGTTTAAGTTTCTATGAAGTACCACTGGTACTGAAAAGGATGTCGGATTTTCTGTTTCAGTGGCTCCCCTTGCATTCGCATGACTCTAATTTCCCTCAGAAAACCTCAGTCTCCGTGAGAGAGAGCGCGAAAGCAGACGAGTTAAGGCAGTTGGTTCATTGTAAATGTTAACAATTGTGTATTAAGAGAGCAGAGGAAGCAGCTGGGTTAGGCAGTTGGTTCATTGTAATTGTAAAATGTAAAACGGTTGTGTAATAAGAAAACAAAGGAAGAAGGCGGATTAATGCCTATGTAAAGCTCCCAACCGTGGGAAATTTATGAATTATTAGTTCACAGTTCATCCATTTTTCGGCTCCCATCTCCTAACCATTAAGTTCACCTTTTCTTTTTTATTTATTTATTTTTCTCTCTTTTCCCTGAGCTTGTAATTCTTTTAAGCTTCTTTACTGCTAGTCCTGTTGTAACCACTGAGTTACAATAAAAATGTAAAATCCCAAATATTTGGCCGCAGCCCTTCTTTTCGTGTAAAATTTTGACTGATTATTATACAATTTTCTTATGTTCAATTGTAATTGTTGCCTGACAATTTTGCAGTATTTATACAACCAAATGTTTAATTAGTTGAAGCGAATTAAAGGATTAATAATGGAGCATTTCTTTTATATACTTGATTTACCAGTTGCCTTTCATTTATTTAAAGAACGTAGCTTGGCTTCTTAAAACTGAGGATGAATTTCTTGCAATTGTTGGTGTATTTCCAAAATGGATGGCTCATGGCAGTCACTACTACCTTACAAGGCAGGGTTTGCATGCACCCAGGGGCGTTTCTATGTTAAGGGCAGGCTGGGCAGCTGCCCAACCCAATTTTTTCCAAAAAAATATATTGAATGGCTAGCTTGTCTCCTCTTGTCTTGTCGACAACAACTTCTCCTCTTCTCTGCAGCAACTTCTCATCTACTTCTCTTGATATATAGACATCAACTTCTCCTCTTGTTAGCAATAATTTCTCTTTTTGGAAACAATTATTCTTCTCATTCTCTCTTTTTTAATTATCTTATGCATCTTTAATTTGAAATTGAGTATTCTAGGGTTTAGGAATGAATTAAAATTTGGGAATTTTGTTGAAATTAATTAGGGCTTTGATTTTAGGAATTTTGTTGAGATGTTTGATTTGTTGTTGATATTTTTGAGTTTTTTGATTTGTGTTGGTATGTTTGATTAAATGCATTGATGCTATTTTGAGAATTTGTTTGTTTTTGTTGAGATGCTGATTTCTCTTCTTGGCAACATCTTCCCGAATCTCCCATTGTTAAGCCTCAAGTTGAAAGAGTTGAGAATCAAAGAGTCGATGATGATCAAGATTTTAATATTAAGTATCTCAAATGTGATCCAGGATTACATTGTCTAGTTTTAATTATCTCAAGTGTGATCCAGGATTACGTTGTCAAGTTTTAATTATCTCAAGTGGAGTTGAGAATCTCTACTCGTACAGTCACTGGTGGATCCAGAAAATTTTTAGCGGAGGTGCAATATTGACTAAGTATGAAAAATGGTATTTCGGAATAATCATTTTCTCAAGATAATTTTTGGCGGCTTTTATTCCTTACATATCAAATAAGAAAACTTGATTTTATGGGATTTTAGTATGAAGTATATATTGACTTAATGAGCCATCATTTTTAGCCTAAATCGTATTTTGCACTAAAACCGATTTTTCATATTTTGATTTGGTGGTTATTTGATTTTCTAGTATTTTTATTTGAATCCAAATGGGGGTACTTCCTTATTTACATTGTAAACTTAAGTAAATGGAGTAATATAAATATAAAAATAAATGAAAAGGGGCACCTACAATGGTTTTTCTGGCAAGGAGAGGTGTAGCTGCACCTCCTTGCGCCTTAACAGGTTCGCCACTGCGTACTGTCGAGTTTTGTATGTAAGTTTTGCCCGACCGACATTCGAATCCTGGAACCGACATTGCATGCACCACCTCTAAATAACCAAAGTGTTGAAAATTCCTTCTCTTTTTTTTGGGCCATATATGTTTAGTGTTCGTCTTCTCCAAATTTGGGGCTGATGGCTTGCCTATTGTGGAATGCTGGAAAACATGATTAGTAGAATGGAAGGGGAAGATGAGGAAGGGGACGAGGAAAGGGTGACGGAGGTTCAGGCAAGGAGGAAGGGCTCTATGGATATGAATGGTCAGCTGAACAAACACTAGGCAAGCAAAAACAAGCACATGATTATCACCGGAAGGCATAGAGCAAATTTGTTCATCACATCATTTTCAAATCCATTGCTCCCCCCCACCCCTTATTTTAAACACACATTAACATCGAACAAAGGGTAAGAAGGTGAACACCGGAGAGGTAAATTGCTCAACCAAGGCTTGAATAAGTTCAAAACATAAACAGGAAACACTTCGAAGTACATAAGTCAGAACATAAACTCTTGCAACATGATCAAAGTACATAAGTTTAGTACACGGCACAACACCCATAGCTAGTTCACAGTAAATCAAATCTTCAAGAAGAACTACTGGAATTTTCTTCTCCTTTCTTTTAGACCTCAATGGCACATAAGCTTTTTAGTTTGTCTCTATAATGATGATAATCGGTGCACTCGTCCTCGCGAAACTTACATTCACGACCATCATCGGCACATTTGCGATTGGGATGCAAACACATTGTCTGCCAAAAAGAAAAAAAAACAGAAAAGGATAAACTTGTTAAAAAAGAAGAAGAAGAAGAGCTTAGTAAGAGCATAGTAAATTAATGAAGGCTGCTCATGCACGCACAAAAAGGACAATCTGGAGGGCTGTCTCGCAATCATGCTGCCTATATGAATCGAGAATTTTATATAATGGAGGTTTAACATGGTTAGGCTAGGCTGCTCATAAAGAGCTACATGCATATACTGAGATTAATTAAGATGAACTTGGAAAGCTAATTAGCAGAGTCCACTAAACGATGGCGTAATCCAAAATGGTGTTGGGACACCATTTCCCCAATAACTTGGAGGGCAGTGTTGGGTGATGGTTTTGTCCTCTTAAGTTGAAGATATGCCCATGTCACATGCTATGGATGCATTTTCTCCAAAAGTGGTGGAATCATCTGTGTAGTATATGCAGGATGGTTGGAAGGGCAAAATGATATTGACTCGTTGTCCCCTACGAAGAGAGCCTCGTCTCCAATGCTTTTGACCTCAACATGCTCAACGTGCTCCGATTCACCACCTTCATCGTCGAATAGTACCTTGAAACCATAAAGCTTGTGGTCATGCGCTCCCTAGAGGAGTTTTCCTTTTATTTGACAAATCTTCGAACAAGTAACAGATCTCCCTTGGTTGATTTCACCAGATATGCTCGACCTTTATAATGGTATTGATCTTGGAACATACAATGAGGTTATGTTGGAAAATATTTCTTAACCAACATGTACGAAGAATTCAGGTCGAACGACACAATCGATCCAGTAACGCTTCCAACTGCATAGACGACTTGGCCTTTGTTTAAAATAGCGTCAGTGAACTCATATGATGCAAGTCTAATGCCAGTCGAATAACTTCGTCCTCTTTTAATGAAAGAAAAATAGTTGTCACCAAGGGAGAATGTTAGAACCGCATAACTGTCCGGATTTAAAGCTGGATCAGCGGACAAAATAACATTGGGGGGCGATCAAACAATTCACAGTGATACAATCCCGGAGACGGCACTGCTTTGCTGCTGAAAAGGTTCAAGAGAATTATATGGGAATTCAATATTCTGAACATTCATGCAGAGTTTTCCTTCACAAAAGCTATAGCGCTTTGCCAATTGGTGTTGGGTTGGGATCATGAGCATGGGAGGTATGTTGTTATGTCATCGAACGATTGTAGACTTTTGCAAGACAAGACCATTCTTTGCAAACGGGAGCAAATCGACCATGATCAATGGGTTCCAACAACTTATCAAGGACAAAAAACATAGAGGAAGGTTTGCCCATTCTGAATCAAAATCAAACTCAGAAACAGAATCAGAATCGCTCAATGCATCTCTAGCACCACCACCCATCTTCCTAAACCTAGCTGCGGTAACTGGCAAGCCCTCCTCACCTTTATTTATGCATACATGCATGGCTGTTTCTCTAGCCTCTTCTTAATCTGATTTATATTTTTATTCTTATTGTTGGGGCTTTTTTTCATTTTAAAATCAATTTTCTGACCACCAAAACTAAAACGGGACTTCAATCAGAACTTTTCCCTCCTTTATCTCCCTCTATTGATAAATGCGCACATGTTGTAATTCACAAAAACAAATCTAAAATCCAAAAAATAGCATGGCTTAAACTAATTTGAATAGTCAGAACTTTCAATTTTTTAATTTTTTTTTCTGTTTGACAATGTTCAAAACTTCAGAAAATAGAGGAAGATATTTCCACTAAAAGAAAAGCAAAATTTTATTGCATCCGAATCAATCCGGGTATACATCGATCGATGCCGACAAAAATAAGCAAAAAGAATTACACAACTCAAATTGCCTAAAATCTGTACGCAGGCTAACCTAATTTAGGAGATAAATTTTAGCCTTTATGGTTTCCATACGAGCACCTGACAAAAAGAGTATGAGAAGTAGACGACCATATATACAACAGATCTTGCTTGTATCATTTTGGTTTTCCTTTCACCACTCCACAGACCTGCCTATACTAAAAATGGTCTTCAACTAACTCTACATCCTCTGTACAAAAGATCTTGAGACCCATCCTTCAATTTTTGGGTCCCTCCATCTGCGTTGCTCTCATGTTCATTTGATAGTATTCTATAAAAAATCTTGGGATGTTCTAAAGAGACTTGGAACTCTACCTGAAAATTTCAATAGGAAGAACCTTGGAGGAGTGAAGTTGGTGCTCAAACCTCCAGCAGCTCAAAATCTAAGTACTGCTCATTTAGGCTGGAAATAGCTATCATAAATAGAAAGTTTATCAAATGCCTCGTAGTTGGCCTTCAGTCCGACAAATTGGCTAGCCAACTGAGCACAGCCAGCATCTGGCCACCTGCAGCCTCCATCTCGCATGCGTAAAGGGCATAGAGTTTCGCATACTCGATCAATTGGGTTGCTGGAAACCACATCATCTGCCATAACTGTAATTGAAACAGAGAGGTCTGATTTATCATCATGCTGTACAGCGCCATCTGCTTCTCTTCTTGAGGAAAAAGATGACTTCAGTGGAGGTTCAATTTGGCTGCTTTCAACATCAACGGTGCAATCTCCACCGCTTGAAAAGTGGACCTTGCATCCCAGTGATTGTATAGCTCGCTTTACGGCCTCACTTTCCTTGCTTGCTCTCTTGGCCAAAATCATAGCTGAGCTGCTGGCTTGCTTTTCATTTTGCAAATCTGCACTTAACAATTCCATAACGGCAGTGATTTCTTTAGCTTTCCTTTCTGCCGCTTCTTTTTCCTGTGAGGAGTTTATACAGAACCAACATTGCCAACAGTAAATGTTTTTATTCATGTCACATAAGCAAATTTGGAATGCCATTTTATTTCTAGGAATGTAACAATCAGAGATGCGCAAAACATAAATCACTGCTTTCAATAACATAGTAAGCACAACAAACAAAATGTTAATTGACTATCCCAATTGTTTGTTGTATCCTTAATCGGGTGAGTGTGAAATAGGGGTGGTAATTTCAAATACAACTTGCAAGCAACAAAAAGATGCATACACATGTTTCTTTTGGTTGGCTGCAATCGTGAGCAATATTGAAAAGAGATTATAAATAAAAGATTAAGAACAGATACCTTTGAAACATAAAACATATGTTTAACTGGCATTTCATGAACAAAATTTCAGATTGTCTTCTGCTTTCATTTCATAATCCACTTTTTATAAACTCTCTCGATTGAGTGATTTTTCAATTTTCTTTTTTAGTCAGAAAAAGAGTCTTAAGTCTTGAGTTCTAGAGAGCTCAATAACACACAAATATATATACTTAAACCTTTCAACTGGAACATCCTACAAGGTTTGAACCTGCAATTTAACAGTCCAGCCATTCATTCATTCACTCACTCAGTCACTCAACTCAGTCACTCACTAGGGCCTAAAAGTAAGAACTATTACCTTCTGTAGTTCAGAGAATTTAATATCCATCTTCCTAAATTGAGCTTCAACATCTCCAGCTTGAGCCTCTGAGGGACAAGCCCATCGGAGATGGAATTGAGGCCAAAGAGTTGGTGCTAAAGCTGCTGCTGGAGGCAATATTGGACCATCGTGCTTCAATGGATCATAAAAGTAGTTATAGTGCACATGAGAACTTCCCTTCGAAGCACGCAAATCGGCCAAATATGCCCACATGCATCCACAAGCTTCAGGTACACCACATTGCTGCCTCTCCTTTTCACTGAAATAGATAAGCAAACAGGAGACTTAAGTTAGTCTATTTCAAATTTCAGTACTTCTCTCAAATAATAAAAAAAGAAATTAAATAACCAAACCATGATGAACTCAAAAGAAGCTCACACAAAAAGAACACACAAAAAGACAAAAAGACAAAAAAAAACGAAGGGGGAGAAGAACAAATAGATGTTGACCAAGTGAAGGATTTGGTTTTTGACACTGCCAGTAACTATGATATCAATGCATGTGAACAACTAGAAAACCTCACAACTATCAACATTCCGAAGACATGGACACACCAAGTGATTAACAATGAAATATACTAGAAAATATCACGAGTAGAAATCAAAATATAATAAGAAATTTCTGAACTCATTATCATGAGTCTCCCCTGAACAAAATTTGATATTCATTCCAATGCATAATGTATGTCATTGATAAAGTTTAATCCTTTCCAAGCTTCAAAAGCGTAGTTGAAACAGCTAGTCGATCTACTAGATCACTACCTTGCCCTATCAAATATGTCTAAGCATTTGAAACACAACCTGCTCTAGATTCTTCCCCATCCTATCCAGACTATCACTGCAGCCAGCTACATGCAATCATATGATGACTTAGTAATACATGTACAAGTACATTATTACAGAGTAAATTAAGATGACTAGGTTACACAATTCACTTACGAAATCTCTATAGTTACTGCTGTCTGCTGGGTAATGGTCTGCTGGAATAACCTTTGTTATTTTGTTTTTTCACCTGTTTATATCTTAGGTACCTGACTCCACACCCTAAAGTAATAAACCCTAGCCAGGAAAAACATAATAATAATAATTTAAAAACCAACAGAAACTAAACTGCCACTTGAGCTCCTCATGTATGCATATAATGATATTCAAAGGTTACCTTCTACAAAATGCAGGAGATTATTTAATTAGGTTTTGACCTTTCGGGCTCTTTTGGTAGAGTTTTTTTTTTGGAAAGTAGAAACTATTTATGTTGAAATTAGGATTTAATTTTTTTTAGGGCGAAGGTTTTTTTATCCTCTTAATAAATAGAGGCTAAAAGCTCTGTTGTAAATTACTTAAAATTTCAATTACCAATAAAGTTTAGCCTTCAGCTTTAAAATTTCTTTTGAGAACTCAAGGTTTGTTATTTGTTTCCCTCTCATAACCATGGAAGATCAATATCCATCAACGTATGCCTACATCATGTCACGCTCGTAAGAAAGCCCAATTCTGAGATACTAAACAAAACTGTGAATTCACCATCTTGAGATATCTATACATTGGTTTGATTCTCATCATGCAGTCTAATCTAAAGGAAGACAGATCAATTAAGAGTATGCAAAAGATCAAAGCCCCATAACAAACTGCTTCAAGGTTAATGCTCATAAAGGAATTTACCTATTACAGAAGAAGTTTCCAAAGCGACAGGATAGAACACAGTCCACAAGATCCACCAGGAAAGCCTAAATCATAAACCAGTAGAAAGTAAATGAACTATTGTTCCCTGACCACAAAGGGCAATTAAAAGAACAGATAAAGCTGTTCGATAACACATTCAACTACATTTGTGATCAGTTTCATCAAAAAGAGAAACAAGTGTACTTTGGAAGAAGGATACATACTGAAGAGAACTCAAAAGCGAAAGGATACATTCGCAACAATTGTGAAACACAATCAACCCACTGCATCAAAATACAAACTAGATTAATTACCGTATGAATGCTGAAGACAACAATTTTAAGTGCAACACATTCTCCTTTCAAATGGAGAGAAAGTACAGAAAAATCTAGCATACAACATTCGAAATGAAAAAGGAAAACTTGACAACAAACTGGAAGTTGGACTGAGAGTGAATTGCTGCTCAAATCAAATTCAACAAAGAACTAACCACTTATTTTACAATTTTGGTAATACGTAATTATATATTGGATGTCACTCTTACATCTCTCAATTAATAAACCTGGCTGCTCCTATTTGTGCACAAGAATAAAACATCAAATAACAAACAAACAATGCATTTGTAACTAGAAACCTCAAAAACATAAAGAATTGGAGATGATGTACTTTTATTGTAACTAGTGCAGAATACCTCACATCAGGTGGAACAACAAAATTAGATGAACAATAGTGAATTAAGATAAGTCCTAAGAAGATGCAAAAGATAAGTACCTAGATACACATTTAATCCACAACCTCTATAATGTATTTTAGGAATATTTTGTTTAGGAGGTGTGCGAGTTGAGCAAAATATTTTTGTTTTTAACTTTCTAGGAAGATGGGAAAAGAGGTGGATGGCGAGAGTTGGGAGGTGACAATTGTGCTGCTCTGTCATCTCTTCAGATTCTAATCATAGCCATCGGATAACAACCAATAGCTTATTAATTGAAGGATATCCTCAACATTTAAAAATTGACATTGATTTAGAAGTATAAAATAGTGAGTTAATACTTTATCATATACCCACATAACAATGCGCACCTGCAGAAATATGGGAGAATAGTTGTTCTGTGCGTGAGAAGTAGGCGGTTGAGATGTGAACGATGCTGATGGCTGACGCATGGGTGATGACTGGATACTCCCAGTAGAGGACTGCCTTGTCAATTCAGAAGGTATGCTGCAACTTCCTGTTACAGTTGGCATGCCCACTCGATCTGCAAATGGATGACCAAATGCTAGCCAATCTTTCTCAATAAGTGCCTGCATAGAAGAAAATAATCAAAGTATTTTTGAGTCACATTACATCACAAGTGCACATTCTGAATGTTCTAAGTCAAAAGACATTCGCTACTGTCAGCACCTGACCATATGTTTAAACTAAATATTTTACAGTGCAACCCTGTAAGAAGTTGAATTCCAGGATATGTACCAGTTTCACAATTTTGCCAAGTATGCAACTCGAGCATGTGTAGAGTTAAAATAAAAAGGGAAATAAAAGGGGCTTTCAGCATTAGGTCCCTACACATAAGCTTTCTCTGCACCCAGTCAGGCAGAAGATTATATTCTGTATGTGGTTCCCAAAAACAGAATTGTTTTTTTTTTTTAACAATCTTTTTATTTTTGTCATTTTATTTTCATTTCTTAAAAAATGTCAATGCTTGGATTGATAATTTACAGTGTAAGGTACCGCCCCAAACCCTAAATTCCCCTAAACCATACTAAACCCTCCGAACCATCTATTTTTTAGGTTTCCTTCAAAGATCATCTCTACAAAAATCACTTGAATCCAAATCCATTTGACCGCTCAATTAAATGGTTGTTATTTCAGTGTTTTCTTGAAGCACCGTGTTCGTCTATTTTATTAGTCACAACTAGATGTCTTAATGGTTTTCAATTTATCTAATTTTTTGCCACAATGATCTATGAATAAAGACTTGAAAAATAGACGATTCGAATCATTGAAAAAAAATTTGTAGTGGAACCCCAAAAGGTGTGCCATTCCGAGCAATCAACACTCCGACATCAAAACCGCAGAAGGACCACCTAATAAATGGAAACAAATGCACTCCTTTTTAACAGAAATGAGTTTCTGTTAGGGATTTTGGCATATTTTGCCAAAATAAAAATTATCCTACATTCCACCTTGCATGTAAAGTATTCATAAAATTGAAGAAAAACTAGGATCATAAATGATAACAGCTTAGAAAGAATTTTCTAAGCCTAATATGACTCGAGGACCACAGATAAAAATACAACTTTAACTGTCCAAAAAAAAAAACCTGTCCAATTATGTCCAGCAGATACCTGAAATCCTGTGACTGTCCGATAGTATGGATCAAGCAGCAAATTGGCAAGCGAAATCAGCTGAGTAGTTCTGTCCCATCCATCACTAAACAAACGAATGGATTATTTGGAGATTAAAACTCCATAAATGGAAACACTGAATCAGCTAATTTGATGGAGTGCAATAATAATATAACTTACCTACAATGCACAAGCACCGATGCCGACTCCAAAGCAACACGGGCAGCAATCCAAGCAGAACCAGCCAAGACACTTTGAACATGTATTAACCAACCACTGTCCCCAAGAGTTGACACTGAAGCAGACATACTGCTAAGGTTGCCTCCACCCCAAGTCCATCCACCGTGTCTCTGTCAATAGCAACAAGTATAAAACATATATTCTCACCCACCTCAAACACAACTTTTTTTTTTTTTGGGGTAAATTTAAAACAAAGGCCATAAGAAACTTCATCTTCCCTTATTCTTTTTCTCTCCTTTTTTTTCACTGTAAATACTTTCACCAAAATCAATATTCTTAACAGTGCTTCTTAGAAACCCTCAACATCAGTGGCAAAACCACTTTTAGGCTCATGGGATTGGGGACCACAACCCTCTGAGTTCTCTAAAAGTACTCTTGTTCCACTTTCTGATTTAATACATCTAATATTGGATTTGGCACCTTCCTAGTATATGAATAACCCTCATTCGGTAAAAAATAAAAACCTTGTTGCAGAGTGTAAAAATCTTACTTCTAGGGATTATTTAACCCTCTACAATTTTTTTACAGAATTGTTGCAGGGGGTCATTTGTTTTGGCACACGGGGATCTTGCCCAAAAATCTTGATTCAGTCAATGAGTACATATTCAACTTTGAGAAAAGTTTACGGAAGAATATCAGATGCAAATTGTGTTCGTAGTTTTTGGGTGTTTATATTTCTAGGTTTGCCCCTTTTTGACGTGAGAAGTGGATATTTCTTATAAATGTTTGTGAGGAATAAATTGATGGATGGGTATGTTACTGTTTACGGAAACCCATATTCAGAACCAGTCCTATAGCTTCAAAAGAATGTTGGGGATGCGAAAGGGGAGATGCAGCCTTGGGGTTTGATCGTCAGATGAGAGAGAAAATAGGAGAGGGAAGAGAGGGAAGAGAGAGAAGAGAGAGAGAGAGAGCAGTCCCCAATATACCCTGAAAAATTGACAGAAGCAATTGTCGGGGGCCAAAGTGAAACTTGACTTCAAATCTGAACACCAATTTTTGACGAAATTAATTTAGGGACAAATTTTTGACATAAATCAAAGTCATTTAACTTGGTGATGCCACGACTTAAGATACAAGCTACTTATCGACATTCATGCTTTGGAATTGCAGATGTATGGTCTTCCCAATAACCTTATCCCAACTATACTGCCTATTTCTCATGGTATTCTCGAGACAAGAAAAGATAATAGCTATAATTTTTTTAATAAGAAACTTGAAATTTATTAAAGAAAGAACCAAAAAAAAAAGAATAACAAGATCCGATGGACGAGATCCATCAAAAGTAAAGAAAATCATGTTTTATCATACCTATAATACAAGATACTTTATAGCCATCAGAAGATAAACAAACGATAAGTACCACAATTTAACACAGATAAACAATCCAGATATTCATAAGATATCAAGACTAACCAAGAAAGATGACATCCCATCCGATGAAGCTGCACCATGAGTGTCTAAGTAGTCCCTAAGCCGGGCAAAACTCTCTCTCATTGCGTGTATGTTGTCTATCCCAAAGAAAACTATCTGATACACCCAAAAAAAAAATAGTATGTTATATATTTTTTATATTAAACACCATAAGATGCATAAATGAAAATTGCAAACCATAGACATACCTCAGATTGAAAATAATTTGAAGATGACTCAGAGCCACCTCCCATGGCACCATTAGCTAAAGCATTTTTTCGAGGTCTTGCATCGGCTATATATAGCTTCCTGGCACATAGAAAGAAAGCAATCAAACATTTTAACTTCTTTAAACATATATATATATATATATATATCATAAGATACACATGTTATTAAATAGTACAACCGAATTTGTTTATCAGAAAATGATTAACACCACCTTTACTTATTGAACTCAAAAAGCTCCCAAGCATAGAAGAATGTTATGGAATAAGAAATGTTAAAAAGTAATTAATGAGGACATGCATCATGGAAGGACATAGAGGCTTTTAAACAGCTTATAAACACTTCTTAATGCTTGTTGTTTTGCAACATGCCGCACTAGCGATACTAAGTCATTAGGAAGTCGATGAAACAAGAAAACATGAACGTGAAAAAATAACACAAACAAAAGTACAAAGCAAAACGGACAAGAAAACTTATCACTTACCTCCGTTTACCTCTTGTACCAGTAAGTTGAGCACAAAGTGCAGCAACAATCTTTTCATCGGTGTTGCTGTAGACAAATGAACAGATATGAATTTGTGGATCAACACAATTTCATAAATAAAAAATAATAATCCAAAATATATTATAATATATAGGTGCTCCAAATTCGAAGCACCAAAAGTACATTCCTTTTTAGGCTGTCCCCTTGATTGTGTCATGCATGTCTGTACTCTGTGTGTGCACAAAAAGACAGTAGATTCAGCTTTGAAAACATAGTTTATATTACCTTCTCATATTCATCATGATACCAACCAAGGGTTGGGAAGAACGTGCAAGAACTGCTCCAGTTTCTGTAAGTTGTCAAGAATATTAAGAAGCAAGTACAAATACCACAACAAACAGAGTAATGAAAGACTTATAGCATACTTGGATGACACCACGTAACTACAGGCAAGCGACCTCTTGCACGGAAATTGGAAGCCTGGAGCACTTCATCATCACTAGCATCAGCAACCATGCAAAATTATTAGTTGTGTAGTTCCAAGGCAATGAAGCAAGCCTCATTAAACCCTGAAAAGTCTTAGGGCAGAAGTATGGAAGGATGCATCTCAAACTCTTACGTAATGGATTTCGGAACTATCAAGGCAAATGGATAACTCTGGCACATTGTATAGCTGGAATTTATACTACTTATTCTCCACAAATCATTGGAAAATGTGAATGAACCACCCTCAATCATATTCATCGATGCATGTAAGGAGCCTTTTCCGAGAAGCCGAAGATACTCATTTAGTAACCGCACCTTTGGGTTGGTGTTATTGAATTTGGAAGGTCCAGAAACAAAAGCATAAAGATCCCATAGACTCGCTGGCTTTGTACACTTTAATAGTGCATTAAATACTGCACGTCTCTGGAAGTTTTTTTTTTTTTCGGGTGAAAAACAATACCCATGTTAGACTGCTGTTCACAACTTCACATGCAAGCAACGAAAAGAATTCATCATAATTTTAAAAACATTTCAGCTTTGATACACGACACCAAGGTTTTGTAAGCCATTTTGAGTTGATAGGACACAAGAAACCAATTGTATAAACTGCTCATTCTTTTAAGTTATCATATTGTTGCATTCTCCCCTCTAAGCCAAATTATGTCAGAACCCCTAACATAACAAACTACTCTTTGCATCATTGTTTTTTGTAGTTTGTATTTTATGCGGCAGAGAACTTGTCCACAATTTTGTAATTTTATAAGGCTCTAATTTTTAAAAGAAAAAAGCTTCTTTTACTTTGCACATATGTAAACATAAACTGAAGTATTATATAAAGTAACATATATAAGCATAATGTACATATATAAGTATAATATACATATACAAGTATAAAATACATAATACTTTTTCTGTATATGTGGTCCAGACGTGCTGCCCCTTTGTGCAGCTGCCAGCAGCTGTTACGAATTTGGTTTCAGCTGTTGCTAGTTGCTGCAATATGCTGCTGCAAAAGGTAGCTGCTGAACTGCTTTTTGCAACTTTAGCTGCATTTATTCTTGCTGAAATATTGGAGAGACTGTCCAAAATTTCGACCAGACTTGTGGCATTTTTTGTGAAAGTTAAAGCTAAAGCCTCAATTTTCACGACATGGCAAAAGCATAGTAATGTCCCCTTATGTTGACCGCCTCATTTTTGGTGAAAGATGATGATGATGACTGATGTTAATTAGACAATCAATGTAATGAAGAGCATTCAAGGGATTTCATAAAGTGCATTTTGTCTTTAAAAAGAAAAGGACGATCATCTTAATTTGATAACATTAGTTTTTGAAAGTGTCATTCAGTTTTTTCACACCATAAACCATTTGATAGTCTTTAACCGAAATTTTAAGGATATAAAAACTTTAACAGTGATATACTGGACCAGAATACAAAAGAGTCAAGAAGTATTCACAGGAAAATTTACCTGCCTTGTTTTAGGGCGAAAGCCAAAGACGATGATCCTCATGTCTTTACCTGCAAAATACAAATGCATGGAACTATTAGTTCTCTCAGTCTCTGCAGAAGCCCTTCCATTGGACTAGCAAACTAGATTTAATAAAACATATGAGTATCTAATCAACGGATCCCATACACAACCACTCATAGTTGGAGCCACAATTCCAGTAGTTACTATGGAATTAAAAAGAATAGATTGCTTATACAAAATATAGATAGCTACACAGCTAAGTCTTATTGAAGGAACCTTAAATTTCCCAAACATCAATTAACAAAGGATCATAATGAACTAACATAATCCCTTCAGTCACTATGACCATATGTGGAAAGGGATGCGGTCTAAACTTCAAACTTCTAGCAGAAGTAGAGGGGAAAGTGCGCGGCTGTAGTGAGAAGTCCAAATTGTTATGAACAAGTATCCACAAAAACATTTGGCTCTTGTGTAATTACTTAAATCTACTGGAAACTGTAAACTTGTTCAAGTACAATTCGTCATTGCAAATTTCCACAGTGGTCATGACAGCAAACAAAGAAATGCGTATGATCATGAACACTCTCAGGTTGATCATAACGGAAAAGAACACATGTAGGCTGCTTCTTTAAGTGGGCATTCAAAATTGTATAAGTTCTATTCTCACCACACACCGAGAGAGAGAGAGAGAGAGAGAGAGTGTGTGTGTGTGTGTGTGTGTCTCTGTGTCTCTGTGTCTGTGTCTGTGTCTGTATCTGCAGAAATGCAAACTGGCACCATTCGCGAAAATCAAAGTAGACCATGAGGAAAACTTTCGCCTGCACAAAACCATTGATCTTTAATACCACTCAGTCAGATAACCATGTTACTGCCATGCCACCCATACTTAGCAGTGCTGAAGATTTCTGTGTGGTTCACCAAAACTATCTAACAATCTACAAATTACCATTAAAACGGCAATTTGACTGAATTAGTTTAGATCTAGGATAGAATCCAGACCTCTCATCAAACACATTCTTCAAATGATACACAAAATCTCACATGACAACCAATTAAACAAGAAAAAGATTCAAAGCAATACAAAATTAACATGGGTACTTCATATGAAATCATACCAATGACCTGAAGAAGTCGCCTTGATGGAGTCTTGTCAGATTGACGAGGGGTTGATTGATTCTTTACAGCCTACAAACTCAAGGAAATACAATGAACTGGATATTGCCATACACACAAAGAAAAGCACAATAAAAGGTGAAAAACAACATTGAATAGTAAAATAATTAAAAGAGTCCGATCACTAACAGACATATATATATTGGTTATTTTTCTTTTTGAGTCCATTCAATGATTTAGTTGAGCAAACAAAACCAAGGAAACTTAAGTAGTCTTAAAGCTCTGCCATCTCTCAAAACATGGCAAGGAATGAATTTATTCTCAAAAGAACAAGAAGAAAGAAACAAAGAAAATGGAACAACAAGTGAAGAGATAAATGGTTCAAAAGAAAAAGATCATATGTCAAAAAGGGTTGATCACTGATGTATTGTTGGTATATCACTAGCAAAGTGGAACAACCAATAGGAAAGCACGAATGCCAAACATGATGGAGGTGGAGAGGACTTGGATGAGAGAGCTTTTGTAGTTAAAAATGTAATAAAATATTTCATATGAATAGAGTTTCTTTTAAATAATAAATATTAAGCATTTCACTAACAGTTAAAAACATGTGACCGGGCATCTCCTGTAAAAGTTGCAATTACAAATATATTTGAGACTGGAGCACCAAAACCAAAGTTATCACAAAAGATAAATACGCATATCTCAATTAGAACTTACAATTTTGTTGAACTTCTCAATTGTTGCCAAAGGTATCGTGCCAAGTGCAATAACATTCCTAGTTCCCTCACTCTTGAAAAACAAAAAGTAAGCATATCAAATAACCTGGGGTAGAAAAAAAAACGGGAACACACAAGTACACCACCAACCAAGACCATCATTATATCAAAGATTATTAAATACACGAATTAAATGTTTTACATTCCTCCAAACCATAGGCAACTTAGGGGCAAACAATTTCACTAACCATAAAATACACAGATATAAGACCTAACAAATGCAATATGTAGTAGAAAACCCCTTTTTTTTTAATGAGCAAGCCATAGGGCCAGAATTGACATGATGGAGATCTATCCATTGATAGGTAAGAGGGCTCCTCTCTTAGCGTTTCACACTAAGCAAGTATAACATAGCATAATATAAGAACAGGATCTCCAATTTCTTCTCACAAATCTTGAAGTGTTTTCTTCTCCCATTTGTTTTTTCTAATTTTCCCCATCACCTTCTTCCTCTTCATCATATGCATCAATTGCACATTGAAACAATGTCAAGCAGAATATATGAAACAAAATCAGAACAGGCCAGATTAATATGGCTGACTGTTGACACTATTCATACAGATACTCAGGTCAGCCCAATATGTAAATTTATGGCTTTACGTAATTATACCAGCATTGTTAGGACTCAAGATCCCACATTGGAAAAATAGCAAATCCTAGAGTGGTTTAAGAGCTCTTGGGCACCCTTCCCTTACAAGCCGGTTTTTATGGGCAAGTTCTACCCATGGGCTCTTAACAATTGGTATGAGAGTCTAGTTTCACCATGCAACTGGGCCCCATTCTATGGAAGGGGCGACCTATAGGCTTGATTAAAATGATCGGTGTTATGTATGGGCATGATATCGAGTCAATGAATACTGACGAAGACGTTGGGTACAGAAGTGAGTTGGAATGTTAGGATTCAAGATCCCACATTGGAAAAATAGTATATCCTAAGTGGTTAAGAGCTCGTGGGTGCCCTTTGGGGCGTATCTAAGTTTCAACCGAGAGAGAGAGAGAGAGCGAGAGCTTTTTGTTTCAAACTCACTCTTCTAACATTACTCACTCTAGATTGCCACATATATAACATCAATTTCAGTGTTAGCAAGATTATTCACTCTTCTAACATAAATTTTCCTTGGGACATGCATAAAACGAACAGAACTAAACTTTAGAATGATCACATTGAAGAGGGTATATTGTCGAATATCATATGAATTACTTACCAAGAAAAGAAGACGAAAATTGGTCACTATCAAGGTACCTGCCTCATCAGTATTTGCAAGAACAACGCCATACCCCTGAAAGTAAACTTTGAATATTAAGGTTTCTTATGCATACCATTAGTTAATGAACAAAACACCACATTACATCCATCTTCGTCAGTAACTATTGTTGTTTACAAATTTTACAAAGAAAAAATCCTCCACAGCTATGCAGAATTGATCAAGAATTCAAAACTGCAAGAACAAAAGAATTACATTGCACTTCAACAATCCCTATTTCGCATTATCATTCAAGAATTCAACAAAGAATTCCAAGTACCTCAACTTCGACCTGTTCAGCTTCAAGCAAGCACTCCAATTGCACACGCGAAACCGACCGAGAAACGGACCGCGAAACCGGCTGGAAAACAAAAACAAAAAACAAAAAATGAAGAAATTGATCAACTAGATTTCATTAGAAACGGAAAATTCATAGGCACAGAGCCCTAGAAGAGGGGAAAGAAGAGGACCTCAATGGTCCAGTCGAGGGCGTCCCAGCTACCAGTGACCTCCATCTTCTCGGACTCGGAAGAGTCCCTGAGAGGCGTCGATCGACCTGAGCTTGAGCGGGGCTTTGGCGCTGCCATGCGGCGAAACGACACCGTTTGTCCAGCTTTTGACAAGATAATAGAAGAGAGAGAGAGAGAGAGAGAGAGAGAGAGAATTCGAGAAAATGGAGATGGAGACGTGAGGTTTTGTCGTCGCTGTTTGTTGTGGGTGGAAATCGGCTATGCGCTTTACCTGCCTTTCAAAGGAATAGCGGTTCGCACGCCATCTATTATATTATTGGACTTGTTTTCGTTCGGAGCACTCCTTCCTTTTCTATTTCCGCACTTTTAAGTCAACTGGACCCAAACTTTGATGAGAATTTTTGTTCGGACTAAATATCCTCAAGGAATTAACACTCCACCCAAATTGTGTCAATTTATCCTTAATTTGACCAAAAGAGAAAGCTGACTGGGACACTTGACCAAAAAAGTGGAACTGCAATTTGGTCTTTTAAACAAATGAGCCCGTTATCTTTGGACATCGACATGTTTGCGCTTGCTAAGATTACACCGTAGAGCTTAAATCGATCTATATTTCAGCAACATCAGCAATTTAACAAGTTTTTCACGAAATTCAACGACATGGACCAACTTAAAATACGGTGATGCGGACATCATTGATTAGTTTCCTAATTTATTTGTTAGTTTTTTAGGTTCTCTAGTTTTCCATATTTTTAGTTTCCTAATTTATTTGGGTTAGAATTTCTGTTTTAGTAAGGGATTTTTATTCTATTACCTCTAGGTTTTAATTTGCTATAAATACCCTCATGTAGTTCATTGGAATGGAAGTTGAGTTATTGAGTAAAGTTTATTTTTCCATAGATTGGAATTCTTGTGTGAAGCCAAACCCATTGGTTTGCCTAAATATTCAATTCACTATATCATACATCAAATTTGTCACCAGAGCCATCTTATTGTTTTTCCTAGGGTTTGAAAATTTCGAGTCACTTTTTTTGCATGCGGTGTATTGATTGTATGACTCCAACTTAGGCTGGTAAGACATACCAACTAGAGATGGACTCTGAACGAATTGTTCAAATGTTGGGAACTCTAACAAAGCAAGTGACAAATATGACCACCATATTCGAAGAACGATCCAAATTCGTTGGTCGTTTTGCATACATAGAAGCATCTATTCAACATGACAAAAAAAGTGTGAATGGAGAAGAGTTGAATCATGATATGAGACATCACGATAGAACGAATGACCGAGATGGAAAAAGACGTGTTGGAGCAGAATTTCTTTCAAGAAGAAATGCCTCCACGGGTTCTCGACTGAAATCCGTACACTTCCTTGATTGGAAAAGAACTTCGGAACGAACGATGGAAATGGAGTGAGTACTGCAAAAGCCACTTTGACGCTCAAGTCAGTGTTTGTGCAGCGGACTCTTAGTGCTCAATTGAATTTTTTGTACCTTTGCTTGGAGGTTTAGTCGGGTTTTCATAGGGCTTCGGGTCCTTGGGTTTAGCCCTACTTCCCTAGCTTTGTGCATCCCATCCTCCACTTCTTGGTAATGGGGTTCAGATGATCGGGTTGTGTCTCCCTTGCTCCGCACTTCTCTAGTGGGAGGGAAGTTCGATCATCCCACATCTTTTAATCATGGCATATGGGTTAATCCATGACACATGAGATTTGGTCCTCACAGTGGCCCCCTTTTTTCCTCTCTACACGCTTCACGGGTGGAGAGGGAAAAATAATTTAAGTGCAATTTGGATTGCTTCGGATTTAGCGCGCGATGTCATGATGGGCTCATGGCTGAGCCTAAACAAACAAGTTTTTTTTCTTTCTTGGGCTTGTTGGTCAAACCCAAGGGAATAATTCATATTGCATCATTGCCAACCTATGCACATTGTTGACCTTTCATGCATTTGAATCCTTACTTTCCATGTGAAACATCCAAATATGAATTTTGTCGTGCACATTTCAACTATGGATTTTTGTGCTTTGGCCAACCTCATGTGAAATATCCAAATATGGAGAGCCAATCCCTTGCGCAAGTGGACTCTTTCAATTTATTTTGAATTTTCTCACTACAGCCGATCCCAGATGGGCCCCAAGCAAATTTCTTTTCTTTTCCTTTTGCGTTTCAGCCGATCTAGTGGACCCTATGCCCTTTGTGCACTTGAGCCGATCCGATGGACCCCATGCCCTTTGCGCACTTGAGCCGATCCCAGATGGACCCCATGCAAATTTCTCTTCTTTTCCTTTTGCGCCAATCCGGTGGACCCCAGCTCTCTGCTCTTCCCTTTGGCGCTTAAGCTGGTACAAAATGGGTTTTTTTTTTTTTTTTTTAGCGTGGGGTGCGCTTGCGCTTGAGCTGACCTTACGGACTCCAATACCTTTGAGCTGACCTCCCAGACCTCTGTGCCTTCGGTTTCTCAGTTGATCCAGGTGGTCTATGACTTCTTTTTTTTTTTGGGTGCACCACTTGACTTTCCAGACCCCAATGCCCTTGAGCTAACCTTCCGGACCCATGTGCCTTCGGTTTCTTAGCTGATCCAGGTGGTCCAGGACTCTTTCTTTTTTTTGTTTCTGGGTGCGCCGCTTGACTTTCCGGACCCCAATGCCCTTGAGCTGATATTCCGGACTCATGTGCCTTCGGTTTCTCAGCTGATCCAGGTGGTCCACGGTTTTTTTTTTTTTGCTGCGCCACTTGACTTTCCGAATCTCAATGCCCTTAAGCTAACCTTCCAGACCCATGCACCTTCGATTTCTCAGCTGATCCAGGTGGTCCATGACTCTTTTTCTTTTTCTTTTTTTCTGGGTGCGCCGCTTGACTTTCCGGACCCCAATGCCCTTGAGCAGACGTTCCAGACCCATGCGCCTTCAGTTTCTCAGCTGCTCCAGGTGGTCCATGACTTCTTTTTTTTTTTTTTTTTTTGGGTGCGCTGCTTGACTTTACAGACCCCAATGCCCTTGAGCTAACCTTCCGGACCCATGCGCCTTCGGTTTCTCACCTGATCCAGGTGGTCCATAAATCTTTCTGCTTTTTTTTTTCTTTTCGGGTGCACCATTTGACTTTCCGGAACCCAATACCCTTGAGCTGACCTGCCGGACCCATGCGCCTTCGGTTTCTTAGCTAATCCAACTGGTCCATGACTTCCTTTTTTTTTTTTTTGGCTGCACCGCTTGACGTTCTGGACCCCAATGCCCTTGAGCTTATCTTCTGGACCTATGCGCCTTTAGTTTCTCAGCTAATCCAGGTGGCCCATGACTCTTTTGTTTTGTTTTTTTTTTCTGGGTGCGCCGCCTGACTTTTCGGAAAAGGGACTAATATGGGCGTACAATTGGAAAAATGGAAATATTAGAAGGGTTAGGGTTTAGGGTATTAGTCCCTTTCCTATAGCAGGAACAATTTGGTTGCAATTTTTTTTCTTTCATGCTCTATATTCAGTTTAAGTTTCATGCTTCATGATTGTAATGTTTTTTTTTTAAGAAAAGCGATAATTTTCTTTTTTAGTTACACTATTAGAATTCTGAAACTTTAATTACTTACTTCAATTTGGGTAATTGTCATCATAGAATTTGATTGGTTGTATTTTGAGGTTCTCTCTTTATTTGGTTGTTGTAGTTCATTCTAATTACTGTTTTTTTCTTTCTTGCTGTTCAAATTTGTAGATTGTGTAATTTTATGATTTCTCTTGCTTCTAATTTTTTCCATTTTTCCTATTGTAGGCGCATAAATTGCAAGGAAGGTTCACATCACTGCATTGGTTACCGAAAAGGAGTATGTATACATGTAAAAAAACAAAGGAAATTTGTACTGAAAAGGAGTACGGATACACGTAAAAAAACAAATAAAGGAAATTTATAATGGATAATTTGTCTTTGTGCCAAAATCATGAGTTGCTTAGGTGAAATACACATCTGTTTTTATTATTTGATTGTGTCTTCCGAGGGGTGGTGCCAAGTTTTGTGTTATTCAATGTGAAAGGAAAATCTCTTTGAGAAACCAAAGTAATTTTATATTTATATCTTTGAAGAATTCATCTTGCGATGTGACGTAAGAGAAGATTAATTGGTGACTCTTTCTCAATTTAGATCAGGCCTTCGTCCTGAGCTTCAAAGAGGATTGATTCCTCATAACGTGAAAACTTTAGAGAGGGCTTTTGAGGTGGTACAAGAATTGGAGCATCATCTAAAGTCCTCCAATGTAGTCAAGCAAACTAATTCTCAAAAATCTGATTTTCATGTTGGCACATCCAAGACTCCACCATCAAAGGGTTTTACTACGATTAATTTAGTTAAAATTGCCAACGAAAAAGGAGCACTAGTGGATACCCATGGTGGTGGGATGACAAGGTGTTATAAATGTCAAGGTTTTGGACACTTTGCTGTCCACTACCCAATGAAGGAGGCAACAAGAAATCTGTGGAAAGAACATTACGCTGAAGGAACACTAGTGGATACCAGTGGTGGTGGGACGATAAAATGTTATAAATGTCAAGGTTTTGGACACTTTGCTGTCCACTGCAAGAAATTTATGCAAAGAACATCACGCTGAAGGCACTTCAACCCAAGCTTGTGAATCAGTCTCCACCAAACAAGCAGGTGCAAATTAAAGAGGACATGCAACGCATTGATGCCGACATTTTGGATCGTGATTCCGACTTTATCTCGCCGGAGTCGAGCTCTTCTCAACCAGGAGGAATGATGCGGACATCAGTGATTAGTTTCCTAATTTCTTTGTTAGTTTACTACGTTCTCTAGTTTTCCATATGTTAGTACGGTTTCTAGTTTTCTAGTTGTCTAGTTTCCTAATTTATTTAAAATGAGTCCAATTTTAGTCTCGAAGGGCAGTATGTATTTGACTGGTGAAAACGTGCGGCACCAGTTTATCTACTTTGACTGAGTTTGCATATTTTGGATTGCCTGAAGTATTAATTTATGTTTTAATACTAATGTATTAAAAAACTGTTCTTTTTTTCACAATGTGAAATTCTAAACTACTCTAATCTAACGAGACGGAGTTTCGAACCCGGGTAAAACATCTGCAAACACATTGTAATTTTTGGATTTGTAATACAAGCTCAGACAAATTTCTATTCACTCTCCTAAGTCATGGAATTCAAATTTAACTAATTATCTAAAAAGT